TGGGATCAGGTATCTCTCTCTTCATTGCCACCAACATCTGTGAGACGATCGTGTGGAAGGCCTTCAGTCCCACCACCGTCAACACTGGCAGAGGTAAGGGCACTGGGAACTGGGAATGTATTGACAAGAAATTAGATAAAGGTCTTAAAATGTGTCATAATGACTAACCCTGTGACTCCTCTGGTTTATCTAGGCACTGAGTTTGAGGGAGCCATTATTGCTCTCTTCCATCTGCTGGCCACTCGGACGGACAAGGTCCGTGCTCTGAGAGAAGCCTTCTACAGACAAAACCTGCCCAACCTCATGAACCTCATCGCCACTGTCTTTGTGTTTGCAGTGGTCATATACTTCCAGGTGAGATGCAAGTGCTAACTAAAAGCACTCCAGTTTCTTATCTGGTTTTATTTTTTTACCTTAAACTTTGATTGGATTGTAGCTAAACATACATTCTGAGTGATAATTAGGTCTTTTGGTGCTTTGTAGCTGCTCTGTGGCTAAACATTTGTGGACTGTGTTTCCTCACCAGGGCTTCAGAGTGGACCTGCCCATCAAGTCTGCACGTTACCGTGGCCAATATAACACTTACCCGATCAAACTGTTCTACACCTCCAACATCCCCATCATCCTGCAGTCTGCCCTGGTCTCTAATCTCTACGTAATTTCTCAGATGCTCTCAACGCGTTTCAGTGGCAACTTCCTGGTCAACCTCCTGGGAACCTGGTCTGTAAGTATTTAAGCAGGTCTCAGTCCTTGCATCATGTTTAAGGACCAAAAGATTGTATCAAGGTGTCTCAGTGTTGCAATCAGATTCAGACTCTGGTTCCCCTGTAAGTTATGGATTTGCACCATCTCACCAACAAAATCTTTTTTTTTTTTGTAAGGACACCACGAGTGGAGGACCAGCTCGGGCCTACCCAGTGGGTGGTCTCTGTTACTACCTTTCTCCTCCGGAGTCATTTGGTTCCGTTTTGGACGACCCAGTTCATGCTGTCATCTACATCGTCTTCATGCTGGGCTCCTGTGCTTTCTTCTCCAAGACCTGGATTGAGGTCTCAGGATCCTCTGCCAAAGATGTAAGTGTGTGATTGTGTTTTGTTTTTTGTGTTCGTGTTTGTGCACAACTGTTCACTGATATGATTGTGTGCATCTCAGGTGGCCAAGCAGCTGAAGGAGCAGCAGATGGTGATGAGAGGACACAGAGAGACCTCTATGGTGCATGAGCTTAACAGGTAGAAAGCAACCTAAGAAAATGGCAGCTGATGTTTCTTTATGTTTGCTATTCGCAACCTAACAAGTCTTTGAAAATATTTGTTTATAATAGTTTTGTCTTATTTATTTGCAGGTACATCCCCACAGCTGCTGCCTTTGGTGGTCTCTGTATAGGTGGGCTGTCTGTCATGGCAGATTTCCTGGGTGCCATCGGTTCGGGTACAGGAATCCTCTTGGCTGTGACCATCATCTACCAGTACTTTGAGATCTTTGTGAAGGAGCAGAGCGAAGTGGGCAGCATGGGCGCACTGCTATTCTAGAGAATACCAACCTTGTGACACACACCAGACACAAAGCATCCACCCCCTCTCATCGTTTTTTTTATTATGCATTGTTTGCAGTTTGCAATTGGCACAATCAGTCAATTTTGCTGCTGGGATAGGTAATTCATTTCTGCCACCTTTGTGTACCACCAGACTTCTTGATAACTGTGTGGGTTACTCCCAGTGTTGAGCATAGTGATGTGTCTCTTCAATTTATTCCAAGAACAGTCACCCACCTCTCTGCAGGCTGCCTAAATCCCCACTGACTTTCTTATCAGCTGAATAATGCCTGAAAGCACACAGGTGTGAGGTGCTGTCTCCGACTACCTCAGGCATCTACAGCATGTTCAGTCAACACTCAACGACAACATGTTAGTGCTTATTTCAAGCTGAAAGCACTGTGCCTGGACGTTTCAGGGGGGAGCTGAAAGAAAGCCATGCCACGTTCAATCAAGTTTGAGGTTTCTAGGGCCCTAAGTATAAATAAAGTATGTACTCCTCATAAGGTTTCTGGTAATTTCCGACAAACTGTTGCTGGTTCTCATTTATCTTTATTTTGATATTTCAAATGATGGACTGTGTTCATATTCACTCTGGTCTTATGTGGGGCACAGTGTTTGTCCTGTGTCTGGGTCCTCAAAGGAAAGTGTTTCGTCTGTCGTCATGCTCTTTTATTCCCAGACTGAGTCGCTGCACAATACTGCCGAAACTGTCGGGATGAGGGTGGGTTTGATAGGGACGGAAAAAGGGGTTTCGTTTTGGTTTTTACTTTATGTAACAGACATAATTGAGTTATTAAAAAAAACAGGATTTTTTTTCCATATCATGTGGAAATTGTGTTTTGATTTCTAGTGTCTCCTTGTTCTTTGTCATAGCATGACCTGAAAAGACTACAAGATATTATTTTTGGGTACAATCAAGAATATTTTATATCGAAGTGACTGTTTAAAGTAGTTCTGACAATGAACGACAGTAGAAGAACACAACATGCAGCAACAAGCTTTGATATAGTCAACAACCACAAACCATATACTTCTGTGTAACTGAGAAAAAAGACATTTATGAAAGATTTTACTATTCAAGCTGATAGCTTAATACACATTACCAGCACATTACATTCACTTTTTGCATTCCACTTATTTAATACATTAATTATTGGTATGTTATGACACTCACCAAAAATTATAACAAGTTTTGAGGGAGTGCATTGATTGGATATTTAATTGGGTGACTTTAGTACCGTTTTGTCCCAAATTCAATTTTCTATCTGAGCTCTTCACTTCTTGAAAATCTGAAGCCTTGTATATCTTAGACTGTGGGATGTGTGTTCACACACATAAATAAAGTACATTATCAATGCTACTTTGTCATGCACACAAATAAAGCAGTAGTGACTCTCCTGCAGAAGATGTCTTCTTGAGCCTTTGTTAGACAGGAAACTGCGAGTTTGTTTGAAGTGGTGTATTGTATAGTGGTTATAGTCCTCCTTTCCACAGTAAGTAATGGAAAGTAAACTA